ATCGTCTCCATCTCTCCAAAAGAATATTATTATTACAGATTATATTTCTATTATTACTTTTGTTCATTTTTGTATTTAGAATAGAATTAATGACATTCTTAACTCTCTTTAATCAAGAATGTATGTGCTGAATATTTCTTGTGTCTTTTTATTCAATGTCATCTGCTATTTCGTTTACCACTTAATTCATTTAGTTTTGATAAAAAATGATAAAGGTATTTATGTATAGCCAGAACATTATATCAATTTTATTCAATTTATCAGATTAAAACTATATGTGATTTCTCATTGCAATCTAAAAATAATTGAATAGTGCCATTAACGTAAAACAAAAACTATCTTTATATGAACAAGTGAATATAAAATAAAGAGAGTATTTCTGTATTTATTAAAGCTAAACTTATTTTACAAATATTCTACAATTGAAAGTAATCTACAGCACTCATTTTATACCACGTTCAAACGTTATTAAACTAATAATATAAATCTAATCATTCTGTTTATCAATTATTGAAGAAATACTTAAAACAATAAAAAAATGATAAATTATTTCAAAATGACTAAAAAATAAAAGGATAAAATAAATATAATTATTTCGATATATTTTGATAAAATTGTTAAGATTATTAAAGACTCTATTTTTAATTAGACTTAAGCTCTAATCATTGTTATTTATTATCTCAACATATTAAACACTTATACATACTAACAAAAGATAGAAACTTTATCATGTAAAAAGTTATTTTTATTAATTGTGAAGAACAATTCAATAAAAGAATATCTTTATTTAATCAAGAAATAAAAATACTCTATCTTAACTAAATTTAAAAAGTTCGAGCAGAGTTTCATTCTTCTTCATTAACAACAGGCAATATGTTATCAAAGAAATTATCTCTTATTTGTTTTATCTATAAAACATCAAAAAGACCTAGTTCCTTACTTATTTTTCTGTTTCAAGTCTTTTTCTTAATACTACAAGGAAAAGAATCAAAATAACAAAAAAATAATTTATGTTTTAAATTGTGCTAAAAATAAAATGAAAAGCAAAAAGAGTTTTTAAATAAAATGAACTTTAAAATAGAAAGTTAAAAAAGAAATGAATGGAATGATGATAGTTATTTTACTGATTGGAATGAGTTATGGACTTCCAAGAGTTGACGGTGAATGTTGTTTCCAAAGTAGTGGTGATAGATGTGAATGTAACAAAGCATATTCATGTCATATTCCACCATTATATTTTGGGTCAGAACAATATCTTCCACCATGTCCAAATAGTGAATGTAATGACAATTGTGTATTTAGTGGTTTGTTAATTATTTAAGAAAGGATAATCAATTGTAATATGTTAACTATTGATAGATTGGTTAATTTCAGTTATTTGTACTGTTGGGGTATTTTTTATTGATTTATTATTTATTGGAACAACATGGTTGATCTGCAGAAGACGATGTGAAGATAGTTAAGTTTATTCAATTTGATAATTGGTTTAATGTTGTTTTTTAGCTTAGTTTTAAGAAGATATAAAAGAGATAATCATCAGTCAATTACAATATTTCTTCAGAAACACTACTTTCCATAAGAACAAGATCATTATCATTATCAACT